TAAATATATTTTTAATTTCTATAAAATTAATAATTTTGATTTTGATCTTTCTAAAAAAATTTCTTTACTTTTTATCTTTCTAAAATTTATAAATCTTATTTTTATCCTTATAAAATGAGTAAATTTTGATTTTAATCCTTATAAAATATTTTTCTTTAATTTTCATTCCTCTAAAATGTAAATTAACTATTTTAGTCTCTAATGATCATTTTAATGTGAATAAATAATATTTATTTTAAGATTTTTTAAAGTGTAAAATATCAATATAATATCATAATAGTTGTAAATAACACCTAAGATGATTACTTAATTTTTTAATAAATAAAAAATAATTAAAAAATAATTATATAAAATAAGAACTAAAAACAATAATTTTAATTTTATAAGAATAAAAAAATTATAAAAATTAAAATCAAGACTGACTAATTTTATAAGGACTTAAAACATATTTAACCATTAATTTAATATATTCACTCATTGATTTAAAAAAAATGATAGATGATGTATCGACCATCCAACAATAATCGTTGATTTAATCACTCAATTCGTTATTTTTTATTTAGATGATTGGACAAATTAATAAAATATATATACTATTAATAACCCCAAGCGTGTGGTTTAGCGGTAAGGGTTGATCCACCCTTAAGCAAGGTCAGGGGTTCGAATCCTACCTTGTGTATGAAGCCGCGTTAAATCTTGGGGCCAGCTATCTCACCCTTTGAGGTGCCTCCAACGTAGCAAACCTCTTTTTTTGTGTACAGTACACAAATTTAGGTTAGTTTGAACAAGAGTTTGTTTAAATAGAATTGGTTTATTTAAAATATTCAAGATCTAGATCTAAGTCTTGTTAGTTATTTGTTAAAGGCTTTTCATTTATGATTGATTTGACTTTTTTTTTAAGTCTAGCTTAGTTTATATGTTAATCTAATTAAATACCTACTTTATATTAAGATTGTAAAATAGATATTATGCATTCTTAGATAGGTTAACCGGATAATAGGCAAATGATTTTTTTTTAATTATTTTTTTATGTCAAACAAAGTACAAACTATGAAAATTAAAATCACCGCTATTTAATGTACGTGAAGGAAGCAGAGAATGCGTAGTTTAGAATTTATTAAACACTTTTAATAAGATACATATAAATTTGTCCTTCATGAGTTGTTTTTATTTATGTAAATATGTTTAATATTTAAAATTTTAAATAAATATATGATTTTAATATATTATAAAAATATATTTATTCAAACATGTTGTTCAATTAGGCTTAATTTTTTTTAAATAACTTAAAATTGACTTTTTTAAATAAATATATTTTTATAAAAGTTCTAGACTAATTTATTTCTAAAAAATAACCCACCTAGCGTGACAAAAAAAAAGACTGAGATCTCCTTGATATGTTTCGATGATTAATAAAATTTAAAGGATTATTAAAAATATTATAATCATTAATGGACCTATATTATGAATCTAGATTCAGTAAAATTAGTATAAATAATAATGTTTAGAAATAAAAAAGATATTTTTATATTTATTATAAAATTAATTATAATTAGTTTGTCTAGATTTAAAAATTAACTTAAATGTTGAAATACTTTTATAAATATCATTTATTTTTTTCTCGTCAAAAAGGTTAATCCAAATATTATCAAATATATTATAAAGAAAATATATATAAGGATTATCGACAAGAATTAAAAAAAAAAAAGGATGAAAATTAAAAAAGAAATATGAAAATGACGAAATTACTTATGTGATCTTATATAGGTTAAATTGATATAGAAGAAGGGAAAATAAAAGAGAAAAGAAAAGATTGAAATTATAAAAGAAAGAAAAGTGAAAAGTGTTGTGTTGAAAACCACTTTGGGTAAATTTATGAAGGAAAAGGTGTTATGCTTTTTGCGACAAATGGCTCTCTTTAGCTTGGGGGCAAGCCTCGCTTTTGTCCTTCGTTAACCGATCATGAACTTTCGACACGTTAAAGTGTATACAACAATGTCAATAACATCCATATCCTTCTAAAACATCTCTACTCATTCATGCTTCGGAAAATCATACCAATTCGGTTACTATCATAAAATTCTTATTTTCAATGAATCCACTAAATTGGTAAAATCGATACATAAGTAAAGTCTCAGAAAATGTGCTTTCATAATAATTCAAATATATTAGTGGATCTATTAGGATCGCTCCAATTATAAAATTGAAGTAGTGTGTAGTGTTTTTATAGATAAAAAAAATTATTATTGTCTTAATTTGCTTTTCATAGAATTATAAATTCTTATTCATAATCGAGGTTCTTTAAAAAATATTTAATAAAGTCAAAACAAGATAATTTAAAATTAATTGTATTAAAATTAAATTACCATAAATTTCTATATTTACATAAGAAAATTAATAGTAGAATCATTAAATCAACTTTAATAATTTGTTTAAGTTGTTATCATAATTTTTTTAATACTAAGATAGATTTTTATGAATAAAAAAAAACTACAAATATGTTACTTTTCTATTCGTTTTTTCCATTCCTATATGTGACAAATCACCCAAGATATTTTTGTACAAGTTGGACAAGTCCTACAAAATGTGTTACATTTTTTCAGTAACACCACAGAGCACAGACCCAACTGAAAAGGATACACGTGAAAGGTGGAAATGGATTGGGGCCATAAACTCTTTGATCAACTAACCTTTGTCTTTGGCATACTAGGATCAAGTTTAAAGACACATATATGTGATCCCTCTACCTTCTTATCTACAAACCAACACGCCTGTGACTTTTTGAAATCAATAGCTTTAGATGAATTGGCAACCTAATGGATCCTTGACCCCCCCAAACTGAAGAATATATTTTATCTTCTTAAATATCCAAAATTTAATCATAAACCCTTTTACAAAATTAATCAAAAATGGCTCAGTGAATTGAGTGACGTGTATCATTTTCACATTGGATATCATTGTTCCATCTTCATCCAATGAGCCTTTCTTTTTTATTTAATTAATGGGGTGGTTGAATGTACCCCTTGACCCAATTCCATGAGAATCATTATTGCACGCCACAATAGAGGTTAAAGTTGATCCATTGAAGGTAATTGAGCCTCAAAAAGAGACATGGCACACACTTGTATGTATAATCCGAGAATGGACTCTTTGACTTGATACATATATTAAAATAGAAAATGATTACAAGAAAGAAAAAACTGGCCAATCAATCTGAAGGAGAATGCAATTTCAGTGTGTTTTTGGAGTAGAAAGTAACTAAAAGGGATCATCCAAGAGCATGCTGGCAATCATGAATCTTCAAGGCGCGCACGAGCATTTTCTAAGATGTGTGTGAATGATCCACTTTAGGATACAAATTAAACTTGGCCCTTTATGTATAATCATGTTATTTAATTATCAAGAATTCAACATTCGTTTTTCATGCACTCATAACCATAACAAGTCAGTGTTCTCCTCATTTGATGTTGTGGGCATGTGTCATGATATTTTCAAACTAGGCACAAAAAGTCAGATTCAACTACCAATAGCATGGTTTTTATGTCTACCTCTTGAAAAGTTTTTATTTTTATTTTTTATACATATTATGCTTACCTACGAATTACTACTTCAATAGTCAAAGATGACACTTTGAAAATGAACAAAGCTCTCATGCCAAATAGCATTGTTAAATAAGGTCAATTATCTGAATTTTCTGTCAATGGAAATCTCAGCTGATATCAAATATAGGAGGAGTATATAAGTGTTTATTCTCTCCTGTACTGAAGATTTCAAATAGGAAAGAGGTATATATAAAGTAAAGATAAGTGGTAATGTTTTTTAATCATTTCACATTTTTGTCTGTATCTCTCGTTGAAAATTTTCAATACTGAGGATCCACTAGGAGTAAATATGTTGGAGGACACATGATCCAATGCACAAATTATACTGTTATGTACTTACGTTATTAAAGATAAACAAGTGGGAAACCATGTTTTTCCCGAAACTATTATCTTTCAAGCCAAAACATATATTTTTCAAAGTCTTTTTGTTTTTTATAAAATACAAGGGGATTCTGAAAGTCGAAACAATGTTTTCAATCGACCGTCGTTTATACATACATAACACATGGTGAACCCGAAAGCTATATTTTTTTGGCTTCCGTTTACTTTAGGAAGAAGTTTACATAGGCTTACTACATTCAATAATTCATGTTTTATATCAAATTTCAACAATTCAACAATTAAATTTAAAATTTTTAACGTACAGATCAAATATACAAATTTGAAAAAAAATTGAAAATCATTTTGATACTTTGTTTCATTAATTCAAATTGACGGATGACATGTTTTTATGATTATCCGTCAATTTGAATTAATGAAGGGAAGTATCAAATGATTTTTAAATTTTTCTAAAATTTACATATTTGATCTATGTATTAAGAATTTTAAATTAAATTGTTGAATCGTTAAAATTTGATGTACAACATGAGTTATTGAATGAAATAAATTTAGATAAACTTACTCCTACAGTAAACGGATCCCTCCTCATATATATATATATATATATATTCCATTAACCAAGAAAATGCTGCATATTCTCACGTATATGTTGTCTTTTGCTAAAAAAAAAAAAAAAAAAAAAAATCCCCCCACTCAATTTTGGCACAGGAGAAAGGTGGAAAAGAGAATTGGGTTGATGAAGGAAAAAGATTAAAAGACAACAACAAAAAGCCACCAACCATATTTCTGGGCCAAGGCCCAAACTCACTGAAGTGAGTCAAACCAAAAACATATTTGGGAGAGAAGATGAAAATTGAGAATGGGAGATTTGTCTTGGCATGGGTTCTGACAATGATCAAGATGCTCCCTTTGTGTACCAAAGAACCGAGAAACAAGAGAATAAAAATGATATTATTTTAATTGAATTGATCTTTAAATTTAATTTTCAATTAGCGTGTATTAATTGTTATGTATTTACGTTAAATACTTGTAAGGAGGGTTTAATAACAACAACAATAATAATAATAATAGCCCAACAACGAATTGGGCTCGTTTAATACATAAGGGGACGACATTTTACATTAAACTAGTATAAATAAATGTAAATTTTTGTGGAGCCCTTTCTATATAGCTGTAGGAAAATAGAAAAGATAAAAGGGAATAGACATAAGTTGCATGTAGGTATAGCAAAATATAATCCAGACACATGTACAAAGAAGATGAGCTACATTACATTACATATAGAGCATATTTCTCCTACGAACTCGACCTGCTCTTTTATTTGGAGGAGCAGGGGCTTCATCACTCCCAGGAAATTCCCACCTAACAATGTCACCATCCCAAGCCGAAGTGATCATCATTGGATAATAAGGGTGCCAACTACAATCTCGTACTGGTGCCTCATGATGATCAAGTTTTGCAACTCTTGCACCACTTACCTATACAGATTATAAATGGATTACATTAACCTAAGTCTTCATACAAATGCAGTAACTGTTAATAAAATATTTGATTAATTTTTTTACCAGGTCATATATGTATACAGAGGAATCACTAGAGCCTGTGTAAATGTACTTTTGACCAGTGCTGCAACAAGAAAATACACAAGATGTCAATCGATGCAAAGAGAACATGGAAGATCATCATAGAAGTACAAGTTACCTATATGAAGGTGAGAAATAACAGCGCACTAACGTACGCAACACTGAGTGGCCTTTATATGTTGCCAATGACTGATCATGGGGATGCTTTAAGTTTCTTGCATATTCAGGGTAATCCATCCACCGGTAGTCCCACTCATCATCTCCAAGGCCCAAACTGTTGGTTTAAGTAATAAACATCATTGTTAAATACACATCACAGACTATAAGAGAAGAAAATAAGAAGAAAAAACAAAATAATTTTTTTCATCAGCTAAAATTAATTTTTTACATAAATTAAAACAAGTTTTCAAAAAGCTAAAAGGAAAGAGCTTTTATAAATTAGCTTATCCATAAGTTAATTTTGACTCAAAGATACCTTTTTTTTCCTTCCTATTTTCTTTTTGTGTTTATGGAAAATATTATCCAAACAAACTCTTAGAGAAACACAATAGAATGGAGTCACTTTTTTTTTATATATATTTTTCCCAATTCTATGCATTCTTTCTTCCCTCTATATATTTATCTCTGAAATACCCTATTCTACCATAAAAGAATTTCAATTATGTTACAGAGAGGGAAACTATGAAATTCATTAGCATAACTCTCAATCTATGTAACTAAGTGCTGGGATAAAACAATTTTACTTTATGGCATTAGAAGACATCTTCCTTATATCCCATAATTTGGTAGTTTGATCTTTTCCATTAGAAATTAAATAACGACCATCCCCACGGCTATCGATGAATGTAATGCCTTCCAAATGTCCCATTAAGATACCAGCTGGTTGCCCTCTGGCGACAAAGCAACGCCTATCCCACACCTGTACAAAGGCACAACAGTCATGAATTTCTTCTATGTGTAATTTCACGCAGAAAAAACAGAGCAATGAATTGAGAAATAAAAGGATTGAAAATTCCAAATCTTAAGAGCTAATTTTAAATCTTATGCTCATTTAATCACGAGCCAGGTCCAAGCTTCAAACAACATTGTTGTCTAACTGATGCAAGCAACGGCATAAATGCAAGCAAATCTAAACAACCAATAAGTCACTAGAGTATAAACATTAGAGGACTCCGATGAACAGTTAACACTTGTATCGTCCAACATTGGGCTCTTTAGATTGTCAAACTTTCTCTTCTCTTCCAGCAATGTAGCTAATCCGTTCTAGAACTAACCAGATACCACATAAAATGCAAGAAACCATCTTCGTTTTTTCTCAAATTAAATACTCTTACAAGCATACTGCACTTTGAGGAAAGTTCATCTTGAAGAATTTGATTTATTTCAAAGAAAAATACAAATGTATTTCAAATCCCATTTTTGAGGAATACCAATGTAGTTTGCACCAATATATTTCAAAGAAGAAAAAAAAAATCATGAAACAAGCTTAACCTTGGAGAAAATCTATAGATTGGTTTTATTTTAACACTTAAAAAAAGGCCCTTCCACACATTGAATTGTTCTCAGAATCCTTTTTTTTTTTTTTTCTAAAAAATATCAAGATATCCAACGCTTAGATGCTGGTCTTCAAGTTAGTTGAAGTGGGTCCAGAAAAACAAATGAAATTCCAGTATTTCATGAGCTATATGAATTAGAATAATATTTTAGAGTAAAATTTACTACACAATTAAAATAATATTTCAGAGTAAGATTTACTAAACATTTATATAGTATTGCTTCATGACAAGTTACTCCTCAGACATCTGCAGTTCTTCACCATTACGAAAACATATTTGTTTAAGTAAAAAGGATGAAACAGATGAAAACTATATCCTTAGTATTACAAGAAACTCCTAAGTTAATTTGCCATCAACCAAGATCAAATTGCATTACTACCCTTTCATCATAACAGACAAACGGCACTGTTCCCGTGATCAGTACTATAAACTTAACCCACCAATAATGGAATAAAGACATGTATTAAACAAAAATATCACTGCCAAAATAGAAATTTGTGGATATTAACAAATTATTTTAACCAAAATATGAATATTACCTTGCAGAAACTATCATCACTTCCAGAATATATTAGATGGCCAGATTCATCAGCAAAGCAGACAGTGTTAACATCATTCTGCAACATGGAAAGGGCACATCAGATATGACCCACCTGCAATGCTTGCTTGCAAATAAAGGTCCACCTTGATTCACTATATGCCACTTTAAAGTGAAGAACAAATGATTAACATTTAGATACTAATAATTCTACAAAGATCAAGGACCTGGCAGAGAAGATTATTAAGTTCAAAAATTGACTTCCTTAAGGCCTATGCTTCCCCAAAACCCTTAACAGATCCCAAAATGAACCTCGAGACTCAATTTTGAAAGATTCAGGTCAACATATCTAAATGGAGTTTCAGTTATTAAAACGATTTTAAACAGTCAACCAATTTTCAATTATTATTTTAACAGTTTTAAAGTTTTTTTGAATTATTCAAACTAGCAACTAATTATAGCAAAGAATATATAATACCCGATGAGCAGGAATTCTAAGGCTAAGCTTATCTGCTCCAAGATCATATACACAAATTGAGCTATCACTAGTTCCAGCCACAAGCTCTTTCCCATCCGTTGAAAATTTGATAGAGAAAATTCCAAATTCATCCTCATGATCATCGGAAGAGAAATCT